ATGTTCAAGTGTTCAAACCGATCCCTAACCCCGTCCTCCTCAACCAAGGTCAACTCCTCCTTCATCCTGACTTCCTCTGGGGCCTCAGGGCTCTGGGGCTCCTGAGGACAGTCTCCAACAGTATAGACAGAGGCAAAGAAGGCATTCAGTAACTCTGCCTTCTTTCTGTCCTCTGCCTCCAGGGCACCCACCTCATTCACCAGAGGGCCTACATTGCCTCTAGTGTTTTGTTGGCAATGTATTTGAAGAAGCCCTTTCTGTTGTCCTTCACCTCCCTTGCAAGATTTAATTCCAAGGAGGCCTTAGCTTTTCTAATTGCCTCCCTACATTCTCTGACAGCAGTCCTATACTCCACCCAAGTGGCCAGCCCTTCCTTCCACAATTTATATACCCTCCTCTTCCACCTGAGTCTGCCCAGCAGATCCCTGGTTTATCTGTCTTAATCAAGACTAGCTATTTATAACAGGATAACAGCAGAAAAATGTCTCTTTCACTCACTGAGCTTACTTGCTTTTTTCATCTGTACAAGGTGTTAGCTCAAGTTCTGGCCTTCAGACATCCTGCCCCTCTGGGGCAGTAAAAGTGGTTTTCACAGGTATGAAAACGTCTGTCACACTAGAAACTGACTCCTGCCAAAGTAACAATTCTATACCAGTTCAAAGAACTGTCCCTATAGGGGCTAGCTAGTACTCTTCAACAAGAAATACAAAACACAAGATCATGTTTAAGAGTTATCAGTCTGTATTTTAAAAAAAGTCACAGGATACAAACAAGGAGAAGAGGTTAACTGCATGTAGCTTATTACTGTAATCAGGCAAGATGACAAGCAACCATTTCAAGATGCAAGTAGACTGGGAGCAACTCCTTCCTTTAAAATACAGTTTAAAACCAAAAAATGGTCTGACATACAATAGGAATGCTTGGAGCAATGGAACAGGCACCTCTGCATGCTTGAAGAAACTGCAAACTATAGTAGATCAACAATTACATGTGAATGTATACATGCTATATTAAAAGATGTATGCAAAAATGGCAGATTACACAATGAAGTTTAGTAATACTGTACTCTTTTAAAAAGTAATATGTAGGCTAATTCATCCTGTATATTGATATGTTGAGTTTTCAAAACTAAACAAAGCCCATCCAAAGCAGAGCAAACATCACAGCGGTGCTTCAGAACCCTGCAAAAAACCAGAGATTATAAACACAGAAAACCTCACTTACCTTAAGGGCAGAGCAGATAAATTGCTATTCTCAAGACAAAGGAATCTATTAACTTTCCAGTAAGAAGCATATAGAGTTGTAAGCAAGTACTGTCATTCTCCAACATGAAAGCAAATCTATATATAAAGTGCTGTTCAGTCCTGTAAACTGGCATGTGTTCTATGACTGATACTGGTTACTCACCAAAGCATCTTAGGTTTCATTTCACATTTAGATTTTCTACTGACCTCCCAGATAGTTGTAGAATGTAAAATATCTTTTACCTTCCATCCTCCAGCTGGAGAGCTTTCAGTCCTGCCAGTATTGCATCTTTATTTACTCGACTTAAATCATCTCCAAGAATAATGAGACATGACAGGCCTGTGTAAGTCATTGCTATGTGCCCACTATCATAGGGATGAGATATACCTGGACCCTAGGAACAAGGGGAAGAAATACAAATATCAAAACATCATAAGACCTTCTATTACAGGCAAGCATTAATTTTTCTTTAAAGATCAAGAGGAAAACAAAGTTATTTTCCCTCCACTTACTACAGTTAAACTGAAGGCACCCCCCTTAGCTATTCTAACCTAACTAAGCTATCGCACAGCTCTGCTGCCCTTGTAAACAGCTGGTCAGTAGGGAGTTTTGGAAAAAAAAAACCTTTGCCAAGAGTGACATTTATGCAAGAGTTAAGCAAAAAGATGGGACGTGCTCAACTGTATCCAAGTTCATCCTGACACACCACGGGCATTAGCTTCCCAGTAGCTGGGTGAGCACTGTTAAACAGCCAAATCTCCAGAGGTCCCTCCAACAAAGATTTTACAATCTAATGATCTACAAGTAGAAGGTAGTGTGCAGGATTATTAGCAATCTCTCTGTCAATTGATGCAATACCAAATTAGCCTCTCATCTACTTTCATCTCTATTCAAAAACAAGAAATCAGACCTTAAAGTATTTACATAACAAATAATGTCAACTGAGAAGCTAAAATGAGAGTTAAATGCTGACTAGTCACATGATATAAATCACAGTAATGGTCAGGGGACCAATAAAGCTGTGCTGGAATTACTATTTTTCCTTCTGATCCTTTATAGGCACATCCTGGACTGTACCACTTCAGGAAAAGAGAAACCACATGCAACAAGTTGACTCTGGATACTTGGTATGTTTCAATTTGGTGCAACTGGAAGACAACTATTTTAAGTAGGATGATAGTTACTTCAATACTGAATAGTAGAGACAAGAAAATTTTTAAATTAGGCATTATTGCCTAGTTGGTTGCCATCTTTATTTTGCAAAAAGCAGTATAAAGCCAAATCTATGATTAAGTTATGTGTAATACATGTAATTAACTCTGGCAAGTCACATTTCCTTCCAAAGCCAAAAAGCTTTGCTTCTAATAAGAAACTGGGAAAAAATTACTTATTACCCATTAGACAGTAAGGGACTGTTCTCACACTAGGGAATCAAAGACAGCTGGGAAACGGAGATGGAAATCAAGGTCAAAGTGATTGCAGCAGCACCAAAAAAGCCGGAGCTACACACAGAGAAAGCAAACAAGGCTGAGAGCTGCACCTCCTCTCCTTCATTTCCAGCCCTGGGGTCTCTGTTGAGCAGGGTGCATAAGTCCCAACAGCTCCCACTCCTGCTCCTGGAGCGCCAGTGTTCCCACCCCTATTTCCTGCCCATCGCCCAGCCACACACACAGGATCAGAGTGGTGGAGGCTGGCAGGGACCTCTGAAGGTCACCTGGTCCAGCCAGCCTGCTCAAGTGGGTCACCGAGAGCCAGTCACCCAAGACCATACCCAGATGGCTTTTGAACGTCTCCAAGGATGGAGACTCCACCATCTCCCTGGGCAACTGTGCCAGTTCTCGGTCACTGTCCCACTGAAAAAAAGTGCTTCCTGATGTTCAGAATCTCCTGCGTTTCAGCATGTTCCCACTGCCTCTGATCCTGGCACTGGGCACCACTGACAAGAGCCTGGCTCCACCCTCTTTGCACCCTTCCTTTACATGTTTATACACTTTGACAAGGTCCTCCAGAGCCTTCCGTTCTCCAGGCTGAATATTCACAGCTATCTGCCCTTCCTTGTAGGAAAGGTGCATCAGTACCAGACAGACTTCCCCATGGGGCATGCCACAGACAGGCAACAGCTGTGCCCTCAAACAACTTAGAAAAAGCTACTGCAGTCATGAAACACGATGACAGGCTCTAATGCCAGAAGGAACATTTTGGCCTATCATACCAGTTTGAGGAATTTTAAATTTAAGAGAAACAAAAAAGTCTTCTCATAATACCTTCCCCTTAAAAATGTATTATAAGCAGCTTAACCCTTGTGATGCATCAGCTTGTTTCAAATGTAAAGTTCTGGTCCAAAACCCCAGACGTACAGGGTGATACAAATTTGCTCTGACACAGAGACATATTAAGTTTGATGTAGCTAATTTACACTTAAGCAAAGACAGTCTTTATTCTAAAAACTAAAATCTGAACCAGTTCTTACCCTAAAAGTATTCTCAATATTCCAGTTCTGTAGCTAAAGCTTCTTACATATTTTGTCAAACAAAACACAAGACACACACCAGTCAATTAAAAATACATGTAAAAATACACCTGATAGTAGGAGCAACTGTTTAGAAGATGTTCCAACAGTTCCCAGCAGCAACTACAAAGAAAACTAGGTTTCTAAACATCTACATAATTGAAGTTAAACCATAATGAAAAGAACACTTAATTTCTTCCTATTTGGAACAATCCAGAGTAGGGGAAGTGCAGAAGATGCTTCTGCTGATACAAATCATTGAAAATGCTGGTGCCTGCAAATCAATGATAACTGTTTACTACTAGTGATTGTGCACTTTTATAGGCAGTTCATCTCCAAATCGACACCGACATCAGGAATAACTGAACTGTGTCAGACACAGTGAAACAGCTTCAGTTTACATTTGAAAATATTATTTCCAGAGGAAGATTACACTCACTAAATAAGGAAGATTTACTCTAAGGATACTCAGACTTGGTTTTTAAAACTGTATTTATGACAACTCTACTCAAATGTTCTAACTACTACAAACATTTCTGGATATACAAGAAATTTTCTAAGGCATCTACAGTTCTCAACATTGTCCTTCAAAAGACAATTTTTCATGCGGGGTCTACATAAAGTAACTGAAATTCCCACTTCACAAGATTTTTTTTTTCTAATTGTACTTGTCTATATATGCTAATTCCACATTGTAAAGGTTTGATAGTCTACAAACATGCTTAAGTAACTGGGCCCTTATTCTGTATTTCAGTACTTCTGTTACACTATTACTTGCTGATGTAAAAATAGGCTGCTGACAAAGTGTTAAAAGCACATAAGCTGCACGTTCATGAGACTAAATAATATCATCCTTACCACATAAATTGCACTCATCACTACAGCACCTGGATGATGTACAAATTCTATGTGTACTTCATTTTCTAAGTATTTTGCAAGTCTGGTGGTTTTAATAAAGTGCATAAACCATACGTGTATGGTGCATATCAAGCAATAGTGCTTGCATACACACAATGATGAAGTTCTTAGCTGGACAAGTATCACCATCTGACTCTGTCCCTGAACATCAAACGAGTATTTACATACAAGCAATGCAGAAAAGACTGTTGAAAAGTCATGATGTGGAGAATCAAAGACATGGTCTCAGCATTCAAGAACAGGTGCTCACAGGCCACTAGAAGAGCCAGTGGAAGTGACAGAAGGTCCAACACACTGGTATGAAGCCAATGTCTTGAGAACATCTGGTTTAGGGCCAAAAATCTGAAAAATGTGGCTAATATTTCAACAAAACTAAATTAAACACAGAAGGATCAGAATCAAATATGAGGTCACATAGGAATTACTACAAGGCAAACTCACAGATACCAACATGATGTTTCATACATGTAATGTAGGATTTTGGAAGCTTTTGAGAGTCTAACAGACCTTTGTTTACCACATGTGGTTTTTAAAAAAATAAACAAAATGGATATACTCATTCACCAGAAGAATAAAAGAAGAGTAATATATTTTCTTTGCTAACAATCATTGTTCAAATTTTAAATGTACCGGAACTCACTTTATCTTCTAGGTTTCATGTAATTACTTCAAGCTTACTGTGATACCACTTACCAAATTTTATGTTGTACCTACACACAACAGTACTTCACACACTAATGCAACGGAACACCTGAGCCAAAGCAACAAGATGTCTTTGAGGCAAGAACAATCAGAATAATTGGACATTTTGGACAAAAAGAACAAAACAAAAAATCCCCACGAAGCTACCCAAGAAAACGACTTCTTTTGGCATGAAATTGAGAACCCATAAAATTCGTAGAAACTGTCCCTGTGACAATTTGATATCACAAAGCAGAACTGGAATGGCTTCTTCAAGCATAAAATATTACAGCAAGTCTCAAAGGTTTCATAAGGTAATTGCTCATACCTCTAAAATTCACACAGCTGGGAGAAAGTGTTGCTAAACTGCCTCTGCTCTGAGAAGACAAAGTAATTCAGACATTGTGGAGAAATTTGTCCCAAATTTCTTGTAGTCAAAGCATCTAATTTTTAACTGGCACCCTCAGGCTTGGTAGACAGAAGTTTCTTTTTTTAGTTCTCTATTATGAACAAAGGCTACTTTTAGTGACTAATGTTAATCTAATTCTGCATCCTAGACACTGCAGGCTAAAGCAACAGCAGCAACTAAGCAAACTGTCATTTCAAGCACAAAAAACACTGCTGCTGCCACTACCTGAAATGGCAAGCTTCCTGGGGCCAAGGACAAGGAGATGCTGAGAAGAAAAGTTATTTTAAGAATGTCAGAGGTTATATCTCAAAAACTAGCAACAAGAAAGCTGTTAAATTGTGGAGGAATTGTTAAACACTTGGGCTATGGAATCAGGAGAAATACACCTAATGCAGTCAGGTTATGTCGACACGAAGCAGTAACTAGCAGTAGTGGCTCTGGTTCCCACAGCACACATGTCACAGTTTGTGCAGCTCTAGTCTGGCTCTGTGGACTGAGACCGCTAATGGAGAGGTTGTTTGGAGTGCACCTTCTGGTTCACTTTCATTTAAAAAGAGCCCAGTTTGTGGATCTCGCCCTTTTGCAGCAAGCACGTTAAACCACTCTCGTAAGGTGCTTCCTACTTGATCCGAACTAATACACTAGTGCAGATATACTCTGGGAAGAAAACAACAGGAATTTAGGCAGGTCCTGTTCCCTCTATACACTTCACTTTTTGTGATCACTACAGCTGGTAGGTCACACAGGAAACTAACTCGGATCTCGGCGACAGAGTACAACAGTTCTGCTCTATGGGTGGTACACCATCAAGTCCTCCACAATTTAAGCCTTCCTTAAAATAATTAACACTTAAAGATGCAAAACAAAGGAAAGCTTTAAGACACTTAAATTTGGTTCAGTGATGTGATAATGTTTCCTACCACACTTTCCAGAACTGCTACAAATACAACTTATGGTCATCAATAATTCCCGATAACCACTGCAGAGGAGGCTAAGAAACTCTCTCTTCAGCAAAAGCATGGGCAAGATCTCCCCAAATACTAATAATGAATGGTACTAAACACATACTTCTAACAGAAGGCAGAGTCCCACCTTCAAAAAACTTTCTTCCCACACCCAGCATCATTGTTACACACATGAATTGTTTCAGCCTTAAGAAAAAACAATGTTGCCTCTGCAACACAAAACAGATATTTTTCTTTTTTTTTTTCCTTTTTATTTATTCCCCCCAAGTGAAAGTATGTTATTAACCACAATCTTTGGCTTTCAACCTAGCCCCTAAAACCAATTTGTAACACTTTTAAGAGACTGAAGAGACCTAGGTCCATCTGAAACTCAAAGGAGACTACTCATTCCTAAACTAAAAGGCTAGTTTAAACTCCAACCCACAAAGACTACAGAACCCAAAGTAATTTCAGAAAATAACTGTTATCTAATTATGAAAGATTCGTGCTTAAACACAGTGATAGAAGTAGCACTCAATCTTCACTTACAGTGAAGATCCTTAAGTCTTGTAAAGTCCACGTCTGGTGCACTGGTCAAGTGGAGCTTCACTTTTGCTACAGTTCCAAAGAGCTGCACAGACACTACCATCAAATGCTGACCTGGTAATGGCTGAAAAAATCCACACATTCCAAACTAAACCCATGAGCTATCCGGGTAACATTTAAGGAAACTGGGAATGCTAACATATCCCTTGCTTTTCTCTGTTATTTTTTCTATTACTTTGAAGGGTCCCTAGTGACAGAAGAGACTTGGCTACATCCAGTATGGCATTTTCTCAGAGTTCAGGAATGAAATCATTGTAGGGGCATGTAGTAAATAGTAACTATCAATGCAAATTCAAAACACTTACAGGCTTTTTCAAAATATTATTTCAAGACATAGGTTTAACAGAACATTTTTAAATGAAGAAGAAAAACTACGAGACCTTAGAAACAATCCCAAGTCACATCAGTGAATTTCCAAGTCTTTCTTTTTGTGAGTTATTTCAGAACAGTTTAATGCAACAATGCTGGAAATACTTTAAACCTTTGTATGCCAATAAATCAAGCAGATCTGAACCCTCTAATGCAGGTGCGACGAAAAAAGAATGTTCCTTGAATAAAAGGCATATCCATCTGTAAACAGTTTTCTAAAGATAATTAACTTGTATCTAATTCCACAGGTTACATGATTCCATCTCTTTGTCCCTTCTGCAGATTGGCTAACATATTACGAGACGCTGCAACACATTTTCCAGAAAAAGAACATAGTATGAAGCATGTACTATTGGAAGTTGATAGCTGAATTAAAAGATCAAAGTACTGGGAAGGAATAATGATACTTTGCAGATCTTAGGGACTTTTCTTCAGAGGCCTTCATGAGATCTCAGAACTATATCCAGAACCCACTCTTCAAGCTTTATACAGTGAGGAGGATTTGAAAAAGGTTCCAAAAAGCATACACTGATTTAATCATGTATGGTTTAGGTTTGAACGGACCTTAAAAATCATCTTGTCCTAACCTCCCTGCCATGGGCAGGGACACTAGGTTGCTCAAAGCCCCATCAAAACGGGCCTTGAACACCTCCAGGGAGGGGGCATCCACAGCTTCTCTGGGCAATCCGTTCAAGAGCCTCACCATCTTCACAGAAAATAATTTCTTCCTAATATCTAATCCAAATCCATCCTCTCCTTTCACTACACTCCCTGATAAAAGAGTCCCTCTCAAAATTTCCTTTCTTTTTGCCTTTAAGTACTAGAAGGCTGCTATAAGGTCTCGCCAGAGCCTCCTTTTCTCCAGACTGAACAATCTCAATTCTCTCAGTCTGTCCTCACAGGGGAGCTGCTCCAGCTCCCGGATCATTTTCATGGCCCTCCTCTGGACTCACTCCAACAGGTCCATGTTATTTTTATGCTGGGGACCCCAGTGCTGAACACAGTACTGCAGGTGGGGTCTCACCAGAGCAGGGGGAGAATCACCTCCCTTGACCTGCTGGCCACACTTCTTTTCATGCAGCACAGCATGCAAATGGCTTTCTGGGGTGCAATTACACATTGCCTGCTCATATTCACTTCTCATCCAACAGCATTCCCAAGTCTTTTTCTGCAGGGCTGCTTTCAATCCATTCTCCACCTAGCCTGTATTTGTGCTTAGCACTGCCTGGACTCAGGTGCAGGACCTTACACTTGGCCTTGTTGAACTTCATGAGGGTTGCATGGGTCTACCTCTGAAGCCTGTCGAGGTCCCTCTGGATGGCATCACTTCCCTTAAGTGTGTCAACCGCACCACATAGTTTGGTGTCGTCAACAAACTTGCTCAATCCCACTGTTCGTGTCACCCACAAAGACGTTAAAGAGCACTGATCCCAATACTGACCCTTTGGTAACACAACCTTTCACTCATCTCCACTCAGACATTGAGCCATTGGCCACAACTTTTCAAGTATGATCATCTAGCCAATTCCTTATCCATCAAGAGGTCTATCTATCAGATTGATGTCTCTCCAATTTAGAGACATTAAGCACATGGCACAGACATGAATCTTTGAAGAAACATGACTGACTCACTTTTATTGTGTCAGTTTGATAAAATTAGGTCTCAATTTTATAACACTGTTAGGCCACAATAACTGTCCGACGGTCTCTGCTTCTTTAGGCAACTGTTATAAAAGACAATCATTTTCCTTCCAAATATTCTTTTTCTTATGCAAGTACACTGGAATTGCCTACTATTCTGTCACCAACAGAGATTCCAAATCGTTTCAGGTTTTAAGCATAAGTTTTCCTTTTTTTCCTTAAAGCTCAGCAGGTGGCTGGATTGCCAATGAGGTTAATTCCAATTAAAACAGATGATGAACTCATCCTGCTACTACAGTGCGAGCTCACTGCAGACACCATCTGTAGTGTTAACCAGGATAAATACTGAAGCAAACCAAAAGACAAATTACTTTGCCTGTCACATGCTACCGTAGCACCCAGTGCAAACATGCAAAAAAACCCTTTTCAAAATTATTTCTCCCTTGTCAGAAAGAGCTACCTACGAACATTACTGCTAAAAGTACTCAGCTGACTTGCTATGCAGAGAGGCATACACAGTTATTACCCCAGTGCAGATTAACATTCCCACAAGTTATTCAGAGGCATAAGAATTATGCTTTTAAGAGTAAATAAAAATAAGGTCAAAACAGGCTGCTGTACTACTTTCATATTGAATTTAGTTCAAGTATTTTTACACTTAACTACAGTCCTTAGTGGATCAGATGTCCATTCTCGCTTTCAATTTCAGATCTCAAGATTCATTCATACATTTACATTCAAAATCTTGCTATCTGTCTGCTACAACACTCAAATACTTGATGATAATTTAGCTCTTCCAATTTTTCATCCACTCTTTAGTGAGATTTGACTCTTCACTCTCAAATGCAGGACAGAACTACCGTATATTTCACACTTCTTCCTGCACAGGGAAGTCTCTACTTCCCTCTTTCAACTGTATCAGACCTTCTGCACCATCTTTAGCATCTCTGCTAACCTCCCTTCTCTCTTGTATTAAGGTCACATTCTTTGCCAATACAGATTTAACTCTCTTGAACCTCATTTCCACAGGCGTCAAAGATCCTCTCTTATGGCCACAACAAACCAGAAAGAGCAGAGCCTTGCCTAGGTTTCAGTGGACATCAGGTGCAATCAAAGAGTCATGCTTTATTCCAGGAAGAACATGTATTGCAACAGTTAACACAGAGCTGTTCTGCCCTTCTCTACCAGGTGATAGTTCTTGAGTTAGAGAAGTTTCCCTGCTTCAGTAACAGATCACAGAAGATGGGAGACTGCACTGAGACAAGCCATAATTTGTATGGCAATTTCTTCACTGCCCTGGGTACCATTTTAGTAGGGTTTTTATGCATGTTTCTTAAAAGCTCAGCAAACATTTCAGTGTATTTACTGTGCAAAAATCCCTGCCTTCCACAAGATCTGTAACTATGCAGTTAATATTATTAAAAAGATACAAGATCATTTATTGTCTAATGAATATATTTCACACACACACTTAACTGACCTTGGAGGGATTGAATGGCATCCCTAAATATGAAGAGCCTCTGAATCCACAGCGATTCAAGTTTGATCCTGGAAAAGATTAAAAAAAATAAAGACTCAATTAACTTGCTTTGCTGAAACACTCACTATAAACCATAATTCTCTAGTCAATATCAAGACCTGTTAGTTCAACACTATTCACAGTATTACTAGAACTTGCATGTGTCCTTCAGTTTGTTACCACTCTGATTAATAAAAAACAGCAAACAAAGAAAACTACAAGCAAATTTGGTAATGCTGTAACAAAAAAGCATCAGATTTTTTTTTATTTGCTGGAAATACAGTGTTCATATCAGCACAGAATATTCTTCCATGCTCACATAAAAAAAGAAAAAGATTGCTCCCCTGGAAAAGCACCCAGAGATAACAGATTTTTTTCCTCTCTGGATTCCTGCCTGGTAGTACCGTCTGTTCCCAAGCAGAATTGTTTTTAGATACTCTGCAACATGTACAAGGACAAACAAACTGTAGTTTTAACCTAGCACCAACCCAACTCAATACTGTGAAGTAACTAAAATGATGTGAAAGGTAAACTTTAAACTGCAACCATTTTCTTACCCAAAACACAGACAAAAGAACATAGCAGCTATCACTTCTGTTAGTGATTCAGTATAATTTAAAGGTGTCACAGTACCTGAGCATGCAGTATACAGAAGTATGCAACACACTTGTCTAGAGTGAAATGCAGATTTGTAGGACTCAAATCTGCATCTACATCGCAAAAAATCCACTACTTTACTCCTCAGGCTCTGAAAGCCCAAACCTGAGGGCACTGTAGTTCAATAGGACTTGGATGCTCTTAAATTCTCTCCCCTCGCTTTTCTTTTTTTCAGGTCTTCGGCCTTTAATCTAAAAATCCTCATGAGGATTAGGGAAACCTAACAAGGATAGTCATAAATCTCTAAGTCCTAAAAAACATCACTATGCAATGTGGTCTATCCGTTTTGCCGTCATTTATCAGCACATTAGCTTCTGATTTTAAATACATCTTTCACATATGCAATATTTAAACTAGAAGCTTTTACAAGTCTAAGTATTCCAATGCAGTTAAGTATGCCAGTTTCTGTATCAGACAAGGTTTGGATCTAATCTACATGGAGTGAACGAGCTGCAATTCTCCACTTCCGCCTCCTTTCAGTCAAAAGTACTCTTTAATGATTCTACAGGTGTAACAAGGGTTGTTTCAACCTGCACTGAAAACTGCCCTATAGCCATGCCCACAACGAGAAAACATAAAGAGTATCTGTACTTGTAGACCAAAAAAAATTGTTATAATCTAAATCCTCTCAGCAGAGAAAATCTGTCTGTTAGCTACTGGAGTCAAATACTGGCATTTCAAGATGCAACAGGTTCTGGAAAGCACAATAAATATTAGTCTTAAGGACTAAATTAATTTAGAGTCCTGAAGAACATCCCCCAAAATCATCACAGTTTGAAAAATGATACAACACGAATGAAACAGTAAGAGAAGAACTAGAATTCCTACCTCTTAAATACCAGATTTCCTAGGTCGCACTGTGGAAAAATCACGATTCACTTAGCTCATTTTCAGTAAAAATTAATCTCTGTCTTAAGTCCTTAAGTAAACTACAAAATGACATTAGCATGGAAACCCTTCATCTAGAAACAGTTGCTGAAAATGAAAATGTGCTACAATTAGGATAGATCTGCTAGTTGCTAGATGGAAGGGTTCATCCCAGAAAGACTGATCCCCATCACTGGCTTTTTAGACTGTAACTTATAAATCATTATTAAGGTAGAAATAGCAGCATGAAATCTAAGTGTGTTGTGCTGTTAGCGAGTCACTTTGACTGGCTTCTGATTTGACAGCAATCATGCAGAAGAGGGCAACAAAGCTGGTGAAGGGCCTGGAGAACAGACCTTACGAGGAGCGATTGAGGGAGCGGGGTCTGTTCAGTTTGACAAAGAGGAGGCTGAGGGGGGGATCTCATCATGCTCTACAATTACCTGAAAGGACATTGTAGAGAGGTTGGCTCTGGTCTCTTCTCACAGGTAATTAGGGACAGAACCAGAGGGAATGGTTGCAAGTTGCAGCAGGGCAAGTTTAGGTTGCACTTTAGGAAGAAATTCTTCACGGAAAGAGGGGTCAGACACTGGAATAGACTGTCTAGGGAGGTGGTTGAGTCGCCACCCCTGGATGTGTTCAAGTGTCGTTTAGATGGGGTGTTGGGTGATATGGTTTAGGGGTGAACTTGTAGTGTAGGGTCAATGGTTGGACTTGATGATCCCAAGGGTCTTTTCCAACCTGAACTGTTCTATGATTCTATGAAATCAGGATCTATCATTCCCTTTAGCTATTCAATTTTCATGTAATGTTTTAAAAGTTTTCTTTTACTACAAAACTGCTACCAACTGAAAAACAGCATCAGTAATCCTAAAATGGTGTACTTTAACTCCATTGCCATCACTGATTTAAAATCTGTTTTGACTCTTTGTGTCAGTGACTTCCGATCTCTCAACCTAGACTTTACACACTGGCAAAAACAGATGAACAGCATGGTTCTTCAGTGTCCTTACTAGTGTATAATCCTTAAAGGCTAATTTTATACCTTTCTCCGAACAAAAAAAATATTGTAATTAATGTGTATGTAACATCCTAGACCTTCAGCACTACAAGTCAAATGCTAGATTTCTATTTACGATTCTTGAAATAAAAAATAGAATGCTGAGCTGATAAAGGAAGTGTTGAAACAGGAAGTGAACACCACTCATTTCAAACTAGACGACACTGGCACACTGACATCATGTCTCAATTTTTTTTTCCCCAGCTTCCTGTGAACATACAAGTTCAAAACCAAATGGGAAACACTGTCTTTCAGTTCATGTACATCACCTCACCTTCTGTGAAGCCAGTTTTACTATTTTACTGCAAAGTACTTGTACTTCTTATCTTATGTAGTAGCTTAGTAATGCTAATCAAACTCTTACCTGCTTTCCTGAGCCACAGCCTGTCAGAATCAGAAATATAATTAGAAAATAAACATACCCCAATTAAAAGGATATGATCACAGTTTACACCCTCAAGTGATGATCATAGTTTACACGCTCAAGTGATGAGTTCGCTGAAGCATCCAGTGCAAATGCAGTTATGGAATGGTACCACCTAGTGGTCACTGTTGCACCAATTCCCACATGACTACTGCAAGCTGAACAAAACACAACTGGAACATTTTCTCGCCTTTGATAATAGAACAAAAGAAAATCAACCTTTTTCTCAAATTGAAAGACTCCAGGCTTAGATCAAGAGCTGAGACTTTCTAGTGAAGAACACCTTACTCATATGTGTGTAGGCTAGAAAGTCCTAAGATGTGTAACAGAACTCCAAGCGATGACCACGAGTGTCTTATCAGGGGGCTATTTTGTTACAGACAGGGCATTTATGTTGTTTACCTTCTATGATTTGTCTTGCATGGGAAGACTGATAACTTTTACCACTACCTCTTCCCGTTCCGGTTAACTAGGCACTCCTCTGGTTCCAAAGCTTTCCTTATTTTACAAAGTATAGAGGCAAGCTTACATACATCATTTAAACCCTAATAAAAAAAAAATAAAAAATAAAAATCATAGCTTTAACACAGGCTGACACAGTTGGTACATCTTGACAAAAATTAAGCATAAGCAAATCCTACTGAACTAGGGCTACATATAATTATTCTTATAAATAAAATCACTAGAATATGTCATAAAATGCAAAGTTGTATTCTCTAGAATGGAAGTATATTTTATATCCAGATAAACATTTCAAATGTAGCCATTAAAGAAGGTCATGCTGGAGGAATACTTGTATTTCTGTTCAAGAAATTTGTTTTCAGAAAACTCACATGTAACAATGATCCTCAAACCAGTCAATGACATTTTATCCATTTTTTCCAGCACTGACACACAAGAATCATTATTACAAATCTAATCTTTGACAGAAGTCCATCTTACGTCCCTGGTGCAATGTAATGATTTTCATCATGCTATGTATGCTCTGTCCCCATGTGTTGCCTGGTCTAGTCGAGAGGTGTCCCTGCCCATGACAGGGAGGCTGGATTAAAATGATCTCTAAGGTACCTTCCAGCCTAGGCCATTCTATGATTCTATGATCATGCATGGGTCCTGGGGGTTCAGACACACAGGCAACAAACATATGTCTCAGCTCTCCTTTTGGTGCCATTTCTGAGTGCAGCAAAGCTAGTGAAGCATCCAGCAGCTGCACTACAAGATAGTTAAAATAAACTTGAAATTCTGTCTAGGTGCTGCTTTCTGAGAGGGAAAACCGTAAAGATCTGACTTGACAATCTTAAGAACAAGCAGTGGAAAAAAGGTCTGTTGCCAGCCCTTTCCCAACTTCACACTTTAAAAAGGAGGTCTTAGACTAAACACATATAATTTCTGATAAGGCTTGTAAAAGAGCACCAACCTTCTCAAAACAAAAAACAAAAAGGTTTTTTTTCAAGATTTCAACTTCTTTGTAAAAGGAAACACAGCGGAGTCTTTCTGCAGTGAACAAAACAAAACCACATACTAGCCATGCACCTAAGCAGAGCATTTACTTAAAGGGAAGGAGAAGTAACAATGCCCGAAATCTATGGTATATGAAGCCAAACTATTTTGCAAGTTATAGAAGACAACAGCCCTTTAAATAAGAAGGCAGCAATGAGACCAAGCTTTCGGCTAAAGATGGTGAGGTTATGTGCAAGGTTCAGCTGGTGTGTGACAAGCCATTCCCTCCTAACTAGAATTGGTATTGAGTCAGTCTCTAAAACACTTGAACTGAAATTGTTGCACCCCTAAAGGGCATTACTTGTTTAAATCACAGTTACAATAAACCCACAGAAGAATACAGACTATCCTGACAGATCTTAATCCTAGAGCATTTCGATTAGGCTCACAAGAGCAGTAAGATCAAGATCTCAGCACTTGGCATTCATGAGCTTCAGCTTCACATACAAATTTCCACGGCTACAAACCTCTGAATTGAAGTTTTATCAGCCATCAGACAGATCACATACCAACACATACAAACACGTTACCTAAAACTATCACAGTATATTTTGATACTCTAAGAAATACTCTAAAACACTAATTTCTGAACTGTCTACCAGGTTGTATAAAGTCGTGCTATTATGATGGGTTGACCCTGATCAGCAAGTAAGTGCCCACAGAGTCACGCATGCACTTTGCTCTCCCATGGGAGGGGAAGAAAACAGATGGAAGTAGAAAGACTCACAAAATGAGACAGAGATAGTCTGATGGGCGAAGCAAAAACACTGGGCACAAGCAAAGCAAAGGAAGAATTCATTCACTACTTCCCATCAGCCAGGCAGGTGTTCAGCCACTTCCCAGAAAGCAGGGCCTCAGCACACATAAAGGTTATTCAGGAAACCAAATGTCACAACCACAGACATCGTCCCCTTTCTCCTTCTTTCCCTGGGCTTTTGCTGCTGAACATGACGACAGCAGGTATGGAGTATCCATCTGGTCAGTCAGGGTCAGCTGTCCTGGATGTATCTGTGGGGGGAGAGGGTTGCAAGCGGGCTACAAAAACCCAGCCTTGATGCTGTGCAGGCACTACTCAGTGACAGCTGAAATATTGGTGTGTAACCAACATTGTTTCAGTCATAAATTGAAAACACAGCAGCACACAGGCTACTAGGGAAAAAATGAATCCTACCCCAGCCAGTACACCTACTGTAACAGTTACTGATAAAAATAAAGATATTAGATTTGCAGAGCATCAACTATCCTGTCTCACATCCATTGGAAAAAAAACGACTGTAAGGTAGCAGTACTTCTCACAATAATTTGAATTTGCTATCTCAAAAAGTGATTTAGATACATAAAAATCCACTGAAGTACTATGGATATGGAACCTTTAATGGGACAAACATTAACAGCAGAGAGGTTTGTTTTTCTGGACAGAATAACAGAAACCCTCTCTTCTCATTTTAGGAAAGCAGTCAGTGACAAAAAGAAAAACAAACTCCAGGATTCTGAAAGTTTTAAGAACGTTTTCAGTCTCAGAGACAAAATTAATGAAGATTTATATCAAGTACAATACAGTCACTTAAGGTAAGATTACTTGAATTCATCACTGCAGAAGCTACACCTTAAACAGTGTTTAACTGTTTAAAAATCAATTTTTCAAAGAGAGATTTATCAGCATATTTGTAAAAAAAAAAAAAGCTGCAATAGAATGTTTCTTTAAAAGCAGCACAAAGTTTGGGGTTTTGTTTTACCTGAAAGGATTCTGGTATATCAGGCTGTCAAACTTTCTCTTGAACTAGAGATGCAAAAGCATTTTGAAATCAAAAGCTTCAGTGCTCCAGCCTACCTGAGTGCACCTACTTCTTCAAATGGTCCCAAAGGAGTCAGAGCTCTACTGCTGAGACGATGCCAATTAACAGCTGCACACACTCAGGATTAAAAAAACAACACATTTTTCTGAAAGTAGGCATTACAGGAGGATATACATTCTCTTCTGCACATTTAGTCATCCAATATTCAGCTTGCTGCTATTGGCATCATTAACATTTCGCATTATCTACTGTCTGTTAGTAAAAACGGAATAAAAGTAATGCTTTAAGTTTTAGGGTTCAAGGGATCAGATGAAGTAGTGTTATTACCAAACGTGTATGAGAGTAAGAAAACGTTTTTATGGTGCCATATGAAAATGCAGGATTAGAGGGAAGTTTGCTCTTATAGTGAAAAGGAGAGATTTACTATTAAAAGTACAGAAGGTGCTACCAAAACCTCCCTCACTCTCCTATAGTTTTATGACGGAATGATAGCTAGAAAAAGGCCAAGCTTGTCTCTCAGCTTTGCCCTTGGACTGCTCGCCTCCACATGTGCATGCTGAGATTTATCCTGCCCTTTTTAGGACACTATCCCAAACACTGGCTAGAAGCCTCCTGGAGAATTACTGAATACTGCCAAAGAAAAACAAACAAAAAAGCACCTATGCTAATCTCTCGTCTTGCAAACTTTTTTATACTTTCAGAATACACTCCTGAAAACTGGAACAAAGATTGGAAATTACACAACTCCTAAAAACTTTTATTTAAGGGACAGGAACCATCCAATGATTAAAAATACCGTGGGAACAATTATGTGATCTAAACCCGTAATTTTCTATAATCAATCCTGGAATACAAAAAGAGAAAAAAAAAATCTATTACAACTAATGCCTGGGGTGGATCTTACAGTTTTTAAGTCTTGAGAATAAGAAAAGGAATCTTTTTATTCCTGTAAAAATCAAGCATCAACAATCTTGACTTCTGTATGCTTATTTAAAAAAAAAAACAAAAAAGCTTTTATTCCATAAAACTGCTTTTAGAGAAAAGACCTAATTTGTAGTATATAATTAGACTAGATATTACAAGGAAACACACATTTTTCTTTCTACCACCATCCAACTTAGAATGTCCATACTCATGATTTACAGATTGGCATCTGCAATTACCTTCCCTAGGGAGGACTCTGGAGCTATCCCCACACCAGCACTTACCATGCCAGCACCTCCTGTCATAAAGCAACAGTGCCTCGCCCACACATTGCTCCCTTCCACTCTCTCTACTGCTATTAGCCATTCACCTGTGCTGACACGAAAAAAATTGCAATACCAGCTAGACCACAGAAACAGCACTTCTCTGACTTCCATCAAGTAACCAGGGAAAGGATGCTTTCTGCGTGCTCCCTCTCAGCTTGGATCTGCTACGGACCTTCCAATCTGAGGACAGCTGGGACACAGCAACAGCATTACTCCTTCTAAAAACCATACGTAAATTTAACCTTCACATATCCAAGGGACCTATTTTTCATTTTAAAGCAGGAACTGTGTTTATTGTTATGGATTCTTAACCTTACACCTCCCATCCTCCAAAAACTTTTCCAAATAACTACACCTGTGCTCAGAGCTCCTGGCCTAGCTACCATTAGTGAGATTCAATACAATCAGTATTAGACTTGTAATACTTACACAATATATGCATTTCTTTTAGAACCAGTTGAAATATTTCTTTGAGATGCTTAAAGGTGCACCTTTATTATACTATTTTATACTGTCTTATTTCCAAATTGATTTCTTAGCTTCTTCTTGTATATATAAAAAAAGCTAAACTAATTGCTTCTTCTAGCTTTACTACCCAAGAGATATTTGTTTCTAGGATTTGCTCAACATGACTATCTGAAATTATCAGGACAGTGCTTCAAGAAGGTCAACCTTATATTTCATAAAAACCAAGAGCCATCCACTATTCCCCAGGTGAAAAGCAAAAGTAAAGATGTTAATATCAATTAAAAAAAACTAAAAACTCACTCACTGTCTTCTGTGGGAAGGACCTGCAGGGAATAAATCCATTCTATTATATCATCTTTGTTCACCACATCTAAGGAATCCAACATATCCAGACCAGAGAGTGCGAAAAACGCAATTGTCAACCTAAAAGAAAAAGATAAGACTTACACTTCCCACCATAAATATCATGGGGAAATTAATAAACGGTTGCAGCAACAGAAGTACAGATGAATTCTCAGCCTTTGACAGTGGTGCAACACATAAAACTTAGCTCAGAAATCATGAAATTTGTCTACTGGGCAAAATTATGGTTTTGTACTGTAAGTATTTCTCTGTCTCAACAAGGCTTTGCATATAAGCCACCCCTCCTTTTGTACAGTTAATGATACGCCAATTCAGACATTAACCTAAGTGTCTCCTTACCTGAAAAAAATACCACAAAGTAAACTAAGTTATTAGTGTATAAAGCACTAGTTCACTGCAACAATATCTTACATAAACAAATCTCCTAAGTCGGCAGTAAGCTCAAGGTAACCAGGAACTACAGTAAACCGCCTCTTCATGTGTCCCACACCAAATTTCAGATATTCAGGAGGTGTCAAACAGCACAGTTTCCTTTGTTAGTCACCAATGTATACGCATAGGCACACAGAATTAATTACTAACGACTTATCTCTTGTTCTTTAGTACAAATGAGCCTAGATGACAAACTTACTTAAACCTCCAAAATTATGTCAAATCCAAGCATCCAACACAGGAGTGAAGTAGCTCGCATGCTAGATGTCTTTCTTGCCCACAGCTGTTTCCTCCCATGAATGCGTGCTATTGTACCTGTTAACTAGCTCCTTCCTGAAGGGTTTTCATTTTACCTCGAACCATTGCTGTCATCTAGATTATTGCATGGCCCCTCAAAGAGTTGCATTACTTGTGCTTACAGAGTACCACAGCAACAGCAATGAGTTAGGAACTCAAGAGAGCTTGCCATGAGGAAAAATGTTCATGTAATGGTACCCTGGAATCTCTAAATCAGATTAAAATTATCCAGACTATAATTTGCCACCCACACTTCTAGAAATTCTCGCTCTCCTTTCACCAGACAAGACGACGGATTGTGAAACAGCTGCTACACTGGCAGAAACTACAGTTTAGCATGGTAAGGAAAACAGAAGTTAGTGCCAGTTTTCCTTACGAGACTAAGTTATAATTGCAGTTACCTCACAAGTTGAGCCACCTTGGCCATCAGTAGCAAACACCTCTGAAAATGGAGACAGACATGGACTGAAGCCTCTACAGCCACTTAACTTTCACATGTAGTTCTGTACCAGAACCACAAACAGTAAGACCGAAGAGAAAAATGGCGATGCAAGTCAGTCCAAAACACACATCTAAAGGAATTCTACTTAAAACACAGCAGCCAAATGACTATGCAGCAGACAGACGCTGATCTCAACACAGTGGCACTACCTCACAGGTGACATTCCTACCAGTGGGCTGACCAGCTGCTCTAGTCATCATGTGGCCATTCACAAGCAGAATTCCAGTCAACAACTTCTGTTGCAAAACTACTATAATCTAAGATTACATAGTACAAGCAGCGTTGAATAATAGCGACTTGTTAGGCTGGGGTTACCTGATTTTACACTATCTTTTACTCTCAGCTTTTGCATTGGCTTTCATACCACTCTTAGAAAAAAAAAAAGGCTTTAACCTATAATCTGTTTGGATATTGAACAGTAACATTTCCTCTTCAAAAAATACTTTCATGCAACTCCAAGATTCTTGAAAAAAAGATATTTAAAAGAGAATCAAACACAGAAGAGCATACAGCTCTACTACTTCAAGTATTCACAGCAGAAAGTGTAAACGTACTCTGTAATCACTGTTTACTGTGATTATTATAAATAAAGTTTCCGAGTACAGAAACACAAAAAAAAGTATGTTGCACACAAAGGCATTTCTATGTGTAACAAAAGTATTTTCTAAGCTATGACTACAAATTGTCTTTCAAAGTGCAAAATTAATACTTATAGGCTTGTATCAACTTTTGGCATTGATCAGATCTATGTAACCCAAAATTCTGACTCTGGATAATAACCCACTGTTTCAAGCAAAACCACCACTTCTGTTAAAAAACAAGGAATTTATTGTTCAGCTACAGCAAATCACCTCTTTGAAACCTCGTATATATTTTCTGATTGTCATAAACACACTTTTACTGACGCTACTTAAAGTCATTTTCACAGTATGTTATCCAGCTAAACTATTCCAATGAGGCACAAACAACACACCAACTTCATCACTAGAAAATGCTGTCCAAAACCACAAGACTACATACAAGACATACAATAAACGTCATCTATGTTTAAAAATACATGTATCAGATAAATTAAAAGTCAGTTAACATATAGTTAGGGTTAAGTTTGCTTCGAGTTGGTTCTCTGTGTTAACAGTACCAGCATGACTAAGTGTGATGGAATTAACATATGATGGGCAAGAATATCTGGCACCACTGGACAGAAACAGGTCCTACAGAGTCACCCAGATATTGCATCCTTACCCCACGCACTATCCTGCCTCACGGAAAATTAGCAAGCACGTTGCCATGCTAACCAAGACAACTCTTATCAGCACCTCAGCTGACACATACCATGAATCGTAAAAACTTTCCACAGAGGGCAACCCTTTGTAAGACAACTGCAAAGTTTGGCATCACTTTTGCTGTGTCTTTTCCTCATACCGTCTGCCACTTCAGTTACGGCATGTGTACTAATTTAGGAAGACAAGTATCAAAGCTTGACAGCTGAAATTTAGTTAACTGACCTACTGAAAGCCTACAAAATAGGAATCATTGATCTTAAGCGTCCCTCCCAGACAAGCAAGTAAAGAAAGACCTTTCTGCTGACAGATTCAGAGCTCTGCATCTTCAAGCATGGACAAAGACTACAATTTCTCAGAATTCAGAAAGGATTTGAAGTAACCAATTTGAGAAACTGTGTAAGCGTGCTACAAAGAGTACCATGAAGTACCACTATCTAAAAGAACTCAGAGACTAAGAGATTTGCATTCTTGCAAAGCCTCGCAGTACTGACAGTGTCTATGAAATACTATCAATCAAGTCACTTTAAAACTACTGTTGCTGATGCTGCATGCAGTAGCTACAGACAAAAATAATTATGATGGCTGTGAGCCATTCTGTTGAAAAAAGAATGTGGAATCAAATTTGTTACTGTATCTACTCCCTTACTGTCTGACAAACTACCACTTAAGTTAGAATTGACCAGCATTGTCGAAAACTTCATTCTCTGCCACCCTGCCTAGTGACAACAGATGCAGTTGTTTCTACTGCAGTGCAGTGAACCAAAATCCACTCCCTGACAAGTGATATATATAATTTATTGTTTTTTACAATTCTCTCTTTAATTGAGTTTCCCCATCTAATTCACTATGGAACTCCACAAATGCAGGAATGTAGGAATTCAGAATAAAAGGCTAACAGCATTCTTTTCTGCAGCAGTACCAGCTCAGAAGCCTTGCTGAGCTCAGTGACCTTGAATCTGTCAAAATGGCAAACTTCCTATCCTCAAAGTCAAACTAGGGATGATGCATTTAGGATTCAATCCCCAGTTTATAACTTGTTAACAGGCATGTATGCACATCTGCACAACACTGATCCAAAAATCAATGTAAGACAACAGAAAAACCATTGGCTGAGTAAAAATAACTTCAAAAAATGCATGCATTAAATGACGATTTTTATTCTAATTGAAGGCTTAGACTGTTCATTAGCCAAAAATTAAGGCATCCTGAAATAGTTTCAAACTGACAGTTCCAATTTTCAAAAACCAGTGGTTTTTTCAGCGCTGCACAGCAGTACTGGGCACTGGTATTGTGGTTACTATGACCACACATTCAATTTAGCTCAGATACCTCACTAATTTCTCAAGAGTTCTCAAAACAATCAGTGATATTATTCGCATTATTCAGCAAGATGGGACTCCATGCGAACTAGAGCCTCTGTTTCAGTTCAGTGGCAAACTCCAACAACTCAGCAACATAAGTCACACAACAGAGACGTCTAGGTTGTTAAAAGCCTCTGGAGACCACTAGTTCCACCTTCCGTAGAAGGCATGGCCTTAGATGAGATGACCCAGGACCCTGACAAGCCAAGTATTCAGACAGTTTTCCCTGATGGAACTCGTTCCCACAGCCTCCTGTCCTGTCTCTACTGCCCCTTGTGAAGGGTGCACCTCTATCTTTCTCTGTAACTAGTTACTGGGTAATGGAAGACTCTAATCAGATCCTGCCTCCTCTAGGCTGGACAAATTCCATTTTTCCAGCCTTTCTCTGTACGTCAGTGTGGCTTAGGGTTAGCCCTTTGCATTACAATTCTAACACACCTGCATGTCATTGTAACATTAATGCCTAGGAAGAGTTAAGAGTATAGCACGCCTACCACTGTCATTTAAAATAACTGACAGTACACAAACATCAACTAATTCTTAATGAATAAATTATTTGCATCTCTGAAATAAAAATGTTTAACTCTCCTTGTGAATACACAGTTTTATGTTACTCCACACACAGCTCAACATTACCCATACTAGTTCTCAGGTGGTTTTGCCAACTGCCTGTAAATTCAACTGACATAAAGCTTCACTGAGCAGGAAGACTTGATCAAAGCCATAAAGCATTCTTCAAGGCACAACTTGCAGGAGATGACACAGAGAAAAGTATCTGATTATTTCATTGGTTGAATAAAGAAGACATGTAGAGAATTCTATTACAAGTTCTCATCAGGTGTAGCTTGACAATCAAATTATTGATCCCCTTGTGCCTCAGGTATAAACCTTAACCAAAGAACCTGAAATACATGCATTCTGAAGCCATTACATTGACAAGTGTCCCTTTAACTCACGGTGAGGCACACACTTCGCTAGTATTTTAACTCTTACACTAGCTAATGAAGATTTAAACTATTTCTGCTGGATGAACAAGAGCCTTCTGCACACCAACTTCAAGCTATGACAGGCTTAAACTGTTCATTTTGAAATTGGCTTCCAGGGCGGATTAGAAGAGGGGAGAGTAGGTCTCAGAACCGGCTGCAAGGACCATCACGTCTTCCCGCCGTGGAAAACGTGACCGTTTAAGCGAGCACAGACCAAATCCCAGCATCGGCTCCTATTTTCGGGAGCTGACTTTTTTTTTTTTGCTGGTGGCCAGATTTAGTG